CTTAGGCAAGATTCTGAAACAAGTGACTTAATTGTGGCCTCTCAACTAATGGCAAGCTCATTTTTACTTTAAATGGTTGACTCTCTTTTTCCCCCATTGTGCTCATTTCTGTCATCTTCTCAAAGCACTGACTAACAGATGGATGGGAACCAACCGTGAATACTTTGGCCAAGTAACCGCTGGTAACTTTTCAAGAAAAGTGAAGTTTGTGTATTCTGGGCAATGTTCACATCACTACATTGAACCTGACTAATAGGTGTTGTTGTACTATTCCTCCTTTGGAAGGTATCACAGTTGAAGCAAACTCAATGCCAGCAAAAGTATATTTTATAGCAGAGACTTCCAGGATTGCAATCAGAGGATGGAATCCTGGCCTCCTTCTCAGGCAAAACCAGCATTTATTGCCCATCTCTAATTGCCCTTGACAAGGAAGTAGTGAGCTGCCTTTCTCTACAATGCAGGCACACCCAGTGATGTTTGGCATATTCCAGGGTTTTAATCCACTAGCAGTAAAGGAATACCGATATAGTTCCAACATAGGGTGGTAGGTGACATAGAGAAGAACTTGCAGATAGTGGGGTTCCTGTGCATCTGCTGTCCTTGTCCTTCTAAGCAGTAGTTGTGGCAAGTTTGGAAAGTGGTTTGAGAGGAGGCTCAGTCAGTTTAATTGCTGAAATTAAATGCAAACTGCAGTAGATGCTGAAAATCTGAAACAAACAGAAAATTGTGGAAAAACTTGGCAAGCCTGACAGCATCTGGGGACAGAGAAAGAAAAAGAGTCAATGCTTCAAGTCAAAAGAGTCTTTAGACTCAAAACATCAACTCTGCTGCTCTCTCCACAGATGCTGCAAGATCTGCAGAGTTCCTCCAGTATTCTGCTTTTGTCTTGCTGGGTTGATGCAGTGCGTCCTGTAGATAGAACACACTGGTGTCTTTGTGTTTCAGTAGAGAAGGAAGCAAACGTTGAAGGTGGAGGACTGGGTTTGAAGCAAGCGGGCTGCTTCATCCTGGATGATGTTGACATTGAATATTGTTTGAGCTGTACTCATCCAGGCAAGTAGGGAGCGTTTACTATATTCCTGACTTGAATTATGGTATCTTCTGCTCTACAAGCTGAACCCAAGTGAGTTATTCTAATACTTTTCCTTCACTTGACAAAAGGTATCATTTCCTTACCGTTGAAGTAGGCACTGAATTAACTGAACTTCCCTATCTCACAGGCATGTTTAAAAATGTGCTCCTCCTTTGAACTTTGGACCACCTCTTGCCAGGCATGCAGATCATATCACTTGCTCCCCATTTCCTCTACCTGATCTTCTTCATCAGGGATCAACACCTGGTCAATTCCAGCAGAATTCTCTACTTCCAGCCACCAAGGAGAATAGACTATCAAATCATTTTGCAAAAGGTGCATGTATGTCAAAACATGCTCATCCTCTTTACTGCCAGAATTGAAAAGTCACCAAGCTATGAACTCTACTTCTAGAGAAACAAAGAACACCAGGTAGTCCTCTGTTCAGTCTGTATCACGCCTCAATATTTATCGACCCCATGAAGTAAGAGCATGGAAATGACAGAAGAGAACAGGCCAATGGCAAGGTGATTTTATGCAGTAAAGACTAGCCGTTTCCCCACAGAATGGAGGGCTGGTTATGGTAGATGACGGAGAAATATGATAGGGAAGATTACACAAATTAGACATATATATAATTATAAGCAGAAACAAAAACACGTTAGCCCATATAGTCACTTCTTTCCACTGAAGGAATGCAAGCTAGGATTAGCAGTGTTGGAAGAGTTAACAAAACATACATTGTGACTACTTCCCAACCAATAGAAAAAGGGCAAGACTTGCATTCCAATGGTGCCTGTCACAGCTTCAGGACTTCCAAGTGTTTTACAGCTCACGAAGTACGAATGAAATGCAGTCACTGTTCTGCCATATTAAATGCCATATGGTAGTGGGTGCCTGGAACGCGTTGCCAGCAGAGGTGGTAGAGGCAGGCATGATAGCGTCATTTATGATGTATCTAGACAGATACATGAATGGGCAGGGAGTAGAGGGATACCGATCCTTGGAAAATAGGTGAGATAACAAGGTGTACAGCTGGATGAACACAGCAGGCCAAGCATGCTCATAGGAGGACTGCTGTGTTCATCCAGCTCTACACCTTGTTATCTAGCATCTGCAGTTCCTACTATCTTGGAAAATAGGCGACAGGTTTAGATAGAGGATCTGGATCGGCGCAGGCTTGGAGGGCCGAAGGACCTGTTCCTGTGCTGTAATTTTCTTTTTTCTTTGAAATGTGACAGCGATCTTATGCCCAACATAGTCCAACAGTCAAAAACATGATAACCAAGTTATCTCCTTTACTGCGTTGCAGGATAAATAATCATCCATAACATTTACTCTACATCAAAATAGTTTCCATGGAATCTTTTATGCCCACCTGAAACAGCAGAAGGAATTTCTCACCCGTAAAGGACAAAAGCTCTGACTGTGCAGCACTGAGGGAGTGCCGAAATGTGCCATCAATGTGGATAACGCCTCTTGACTGGGGCTTAACTTGCACTAATTTCTGAATCAAACTAAAGAGTATTGCTCATGGAGCTACACAGTATATTAAGTGACTGAGAGCAGAATACATTACCATGTACCAAGTGCATACATTTTTTAATGTTGTTGCATGATATATGCAATTATTTCCCTACTTTAATAGTGGCATGATTTGCCCTTACCTACATGTCCATGAAATTACACCTGCTACAAAGTCGAAAGCAGTTGTTAAATATAAAGAATAAGAAATTTGCCAAATCTTTCATTTCCAGGTGACATGGACTAGGCAAATTCAAACAAATCCAAACAGATTCTTCCAATTCAAATCCCCTGAAATGGCTTTAGAGAGAACTTACGACGTCACAGACTTGCAGATCATCTTGCAGACATGCAACTGGTGGTTTCAGTTATACTGCACAACCTAGTGGCAGCATGGTGTAAACCCGTGTACTGAAAACCATGATCACATTAAACTCAGTGATGTCAAATTTAGTTGTCTCCTTAAAGTTATAAATAAAATTGGCTAAATATGCAAATCATGTATTTCCTCCTGAAAAGGTATAAGGAACAACCTCATTTTATAAAGCATCTTTGTCCTAGCCAAGTGTATCACAGACATTTAATCAAAAACGACCAAAGGTTCAAAAAACTTTGGTTAGAGAGGGGAACCGGAGGAACTCTGAAATCCATCCATCGGATCTTTACATTTTCCTGTTGTTTTTAGTGATTTGGTTGCATGTCATTCACGTTGGAGTGTGCCTGAGAGCCACAGTGCTGCATAAAGCTATTAAAAACGTATCTAACTAGATGCCACCCCTGTCTTGGAAAATTTTAAGTTAAGGAGTAATTACAGTATAGAAATGGCCACTTGGATATCTGTAAACCAATCCAGTCAGTCCCAATCTTCACGCTATTCCTATTGGCCTGTAGGTTCATTTCCAGACAATTTCCACCCAATTTCCTTTTGAAATACTTGATGATTTCCACATCCAGCACCCTATTAAACATGAAGCTCCGTGTCATTAAAACTTCCTCAAGGCCCTGGTACAAATTTTATCCCAAATCATACATCATTGTCCCAGTCAACTAATTGTAAGAGATTGCATAAACCTAACAGAACATTTTCATATTTTTTCGAGAATTCCATGGTTCACCAGTATTTGTTGCCTATCCCTAACTACCCTTGAATTGAGTGGCTCATTGGGCTACTTCAGGGAATGGATAAGAGTCAACTACATTGCTGTGGATTTTGAATCACATGCAGACCAGACTAGGTAAGGACAACTGATTTCCATCCCTCAAAGACATGAGTGAACAGGATAGGTTTTTTTTTTACAAAAATAAAAAGTAGTCTCAGTAATTCCAGACTTAATAATGGAATTTAAATTCACCAGTTGCTGTACTAGGATTTGAACCAATGGTCCCCTAAATTACTTGTTAGTGACCTTACCACGATACTGCCATCTCCCTTTAATTTTTTAGCATTTCGAACGAATATCCATTGTCCCAAGAAGTATAACATCAGCTTCTTCAGTTTAACAGTGCAGCTAAAATCCCTCATTCCTGAAAGCATTCAGCTAAAGCTCTTTACACATTCCCAAAAGGACCCTCACATCCTTCCCACAGCCTGGTGACCAGAACTGAGTGCAATGCACTATCTGTAGCCTAACTGGATCTCTATAACAGTTCAGGATAACTCTTCCACTTTTGTACTCAGTAATTCCATTTATGAAATTGTCAACTATTCTTTCAATACGTCCTACCATCTTCAAAGGCCTAATATAGACTTGGCAACATATTCCACAGCTCCATTAGCAGTTGGCTGGAAAGCAGTTTTATTTCCATCTTACCATATTGCTACTAATTATATTTTTCAAAAAAGTTATGTCGCTCAGTCTCTGGATTTTTCAACCACATCAAACACCATTTATCTGGATCAATTTTGTAAATTCCCTTATCTTGAGAAGTTGTAAAACAAAAATGTGGAAGTAACACTTCAGAGTTTGACCTTTGCCCTGGGACTTCCTTTGCACCAACGTGAAAAGGTTGAATCCCATCATATTTGTGGCTCCATGTTCAAATCCAGCAGTATCATTATTCTAAACTACAAGTATCAATAGTTTCTTTGTCCCTCACAAATTGGAGGAAAAGTATTAGTTATCTATATTCAGGATTGAGATGAGGAGAAATTTATTCCCCTACAGTGTGGTGAACCTGTGGAATTGTCTGCTGCGGAAAGTAGTTGAGGCCAAAGCATTGAATGTTTTTAAGGAGATAGATATAGGTCTTATGGCTAAAGGGATCAATGGGTTCATGCAAAAGCAGGAACAGGTTAGAGTAGAATAATCACCCGTGATTATATGGAATGGAGGTACAAAAAGGTCAAATGGCCTACGTCTGTTCCTATTTTTGAAATTTCAAAATAAGAGTAACGTTAACTCACTTTAATGGGTGTTTTTATAGCAGTCTTCACAATCTCTTCCTCATCTTCTTCCTCCTCCTCCTCCTCTTCCTCATCATCGTCATCATCATCGTCGTCGTCGTCATCTTCGTCCTCCTCTTCTTCTTCATCATCTTCCTCCCTAGAATACCAGGCATAAAATTCAGCAAACCTTCAGTAAATGATACACGATACCTACTGCAGTTAAGGGTTCCAGTACAATTTATAAGGCAACAACAGAACTCGGCAGGTCACACATCATCTGTGGGAAGAGCAACAGATGTTTCAAGTTCAACACAGTCCCCGAATCAAAAAATTAACTTTTTTTTCTCTCTACAGAAGCAGCTTAGCTGGCTGAACATCTCCAGCATTTTCTATTTTCATATCTGATTTACATCATCTTTAGCATTTTACATTTGCAGGTCAAAAGTTTGTCTTGCGTTATGGCCTTTTAAGATACTTCAAGTGATATCTCCTATTGTTCCTTTTTACCCACCTGACACTGAAAATTTAATCATCCATACCCTTACTGTTACAGCATGCAGCCACATGGCTTTCACATCAAGATTCTTTGCACTTACTCCTGCTCTAGCTCATCCTCTACCAACTTATCGAAACCATGGAATTCCATCTTATCCCTGACAAAACCTAACCCAGGGGCGACCTAACTGTAGTTTCCTGAAGTGGTAATATTCTATGAAGGAAATCCTGCCCTCTGGATTACCCAATCTCATGGGTCTTCCTGCCCATGCACACAAAGTTCAAGAATCAGGTTGCTTAAGAATCATGAATTTCTCTGGCAGAAACCCACGATCCTCAATCAACATGATCCTTGAATTGAGGGACAACTAATAGGAGTGCCTTTCACCTATTTTACTGAACAACTGTGAATGATTCCCTCAATAATTGTTGCTCAATTAGTAATTAAGCAGCATTGTGACATTAATTTGCATCCAATACAATAGCCATGTCAATTTTTAAAAAAATATTTCAGTTATAACATCACAATGAAATCACACTTAATTTTTTGTAACTTCCAGGCATCAGACAAATGCCCGGAAGCGCAATGTTTGTAGACATGTTACACAGGCGCAACAATAGCAATAGCAGGCATAAGCAACTACTTCAAAGCTAAAATCAGATCTCAGGAGTCAGAAAGAATCGTAAATTGCTCAGCTTTTCATCATGTATAAAATATAAAAAGTTAGTTGAACTGGTCTATTAGATTCAAGCTTGTTTCTAAGTCCTGAGTATCTAACACACTGTAAATATAAACAATATTCTACTTTGTCATGATCAAGGCTGCTGGTCAGACTCCTTCAAACATTCTGTACCTACACCAGCCGGCCTTTGTCAATTTCCAAACCAGAATTTTCAACTAGATTCCAGCTGACAATACTCCTCTGCATCTATTAAATCTGTCAAACAAACTATTCAAAACCTCTGTTTAGCTTCGGTGCATTCATTATATTGTTACTGAACACTATCTGTGTCCACACATGAAATAATATAGTGGTCAGATTACATGACTATACACAGAAGAACTTTCCTCTTGTAATGTACTTGTATTTCCAGAACGATAAGGAGTTTCATTAATTCAATGTCTCCAAAAAAAATGGAAGGGGGAAGTGAAGAACAAACTTACTCATCTTCATCGTCATCATCTTCATCTTCATCATCAGCATCATCTTCATTTTCAGTTTTATCATTCATCACCTTATCTTTTAATGACTTTTCTAGCTTTGGCTTTTTCTATAAACAGAAAAGACTATCAGAGCCAGCAATAGGACCAAGAATGGGAAAGCCTGTTAATTGGAAAATATCTGGACTCATAGTACTGAAGAGGATGGCCAGTAAAGAGGAAATTAAGATTGTCAGCGGCCTTAGAAATAATTTGTTGTATAATAGATCATACCTGAAGGCAAAAACTGAGCACGCTGGGGCTCTATTCTCTCAAAAAGATTGCAAAGTGATCTGCTGGAATTACGAAGGATTGGACATGATAGACAGAAATAAAACCTTGTAAGGGATTTGAACCCAGAACGTAGTATTGTCACCAAAAAAATCCATTCTAGCTCTCGGGAGAAACTTCTTTACCTAGAGAGAGTGATGAAAAATGCAGATAGAGTGGTTGAAGTGAATGGTACAGATGCATTTAAAAAGAGAAGGTACGTAGGTCCAAAAGGGAGCTAGGAATAGATGGAATACTTAAGTTTAAATGAAGTAATGCGGGAGAAGACAGCAGCCTACAGCATATAGCATCTTTAAGATAATACAATGACCTAAGATGCTGCAGCAGCATTGTAAAGGGAATTTTTACACTAAGTTATAGGTATTAGTGTAAGGGACCAAGAAGTTGATCAAACATCTTAGGGAGGATATATTGACATTGGAGGGAGTACAACATAGATGCTCAAGAATGATACCCAGATTTCAGGGTTTAAAATAGGAGGACAGATTATATGGATTTAGCCTGTTTTCTCTAGAATTTAGAAGGTTTAGGGGTGATCTGATCAAAGTCTTCAAACTATTAACAGGAAAAGGGGGTGGGAGGTAGATAAGGTATTTCCACTGGTTGGAGATTCTAAAACTCCGGAGAGATGTTAGGAAGCACTTCTACATACCAAGGGTAGTAAATGTTTGGAACACTCTTCCATAATAGCAACTGATGCTAGGATTAGTTGTTAGTTTTAAATCTGAGAGATAATGTTTTGTTAAGCAAAGGTATTAAGGAATGTACAGTTAGTCACAGATCAGTACTGATCTCATTGAACAGTGGAACAGGCTCATGAGGCTGAATGGCCTATTACTGATCTGATGCTTCTAAAACAGAAGATTTTAAGAGAAGCCTTATGAAGGAAAGAAGAGGAGGCAGCTAGGTTTGAAGACTGAATTCTGGAGGTCAAGATTTAAGCAGCTGACAGCATGGACAGAAATAATGGATAGATTAAAATTAGGGTACTCAAAAGAACATAAGAATGTAAGAGGAGCTGGAGTAGGCCATTCAGTCAGTCATTCTATCTCACCATTCAACATCATGGCTAATGTACCCCAGGGCATAAATCCTCTAGCACAGTTCTCAACTCCCTGATATTTCCAAAACCACCTACAACCTCTAAATATTTCCAGTGATCTAGTATTCACAACTCTCTGGGGTAGAGAATTCCAGACATTCACTCTGGGAGAAGAAATTTCTTTACATGTCAATTTTAAATCAGTGACCCCTTATCCCATAACTTTGTTCCCTAGTGTGAGGTAACCTAAACAATTGGAGACATCTCAATGTCTACCCTGTCAAACCCCCGCCGAATCTTATATTTTTCTTTTCATTCGTTCATGGGCTGAGGGCATCACTAGCTAGACCAACAGTTATTACCCATCCCTAATTGCCCAGAGGACAGTTAACAGTCGACCACATTGTTGTGGGTCTGGAGTCACATGTAGGCCAGACAAGGCAAGGATGGCAGTTTTCTCCCCCTAAAGGGTATTAGTCATTAGTGAACTAGATGGGTTTTTCATCACAATTGGCAATGGATTCGTGATGATCATTAGACTCTTAATTGCAGATTTTTTTTATTGAATTCAAATTCCACCATCTGACATGCTGTGATTTGAACCCGGGTCCTCAGGCTAGTGAGCCCACAGCGGGACCCGGAGACTGGTGGTAAGGCAGCTGATGAGTCCGGAGTGGGGGTCTAGAAGTGACGTCAAGGAAGTGGCTGGCAGAGGGATGAGCATGGGGGCCTGGTATCGGCAGCTACGTCAGCGAGGGCTAGCAGCAGCTGCAGAGTTGATGTGGTTTCTGCCCGGGATTCCTTTGGGCGGCTTTTGAGACATCTTCTTTCCCGAAATAGACAACGGCCCGATGCAGTTGGCCAGCTTCGGCAGCGGCTTCCAACCCAGTATTCCAGCAGCCTGGTAATCCAGTAGCTGGTAATCCAGTAGCCCCTTGAGACGGTTTTGCAGCAGTACTGTCTACTCCTGAACCCAGGAGCTAGGAATTGAACTAAGATAGACTTTGTCTTAATGTCTTTTCTTATCCAGGCCTTCTATTATTAATATAGGTGCTGTGGTACAGTGACTTAAATACTATTCACTTTTATTTTTGTTAGAAGATACAAGTGACAATAAATGACTAAATGACTAGAACATCACCTGGGTCCCCCGATTAACAATCCAGAGACAATATCATTAGATATTAACCCTCCAATTCTTGATAAATCAACCTCTTCATCCTAGGAATGAAGCTAGTAAATCTCTTTTGAACTGCCTCCGATGCCCTTTTTAAAATACAGTTACCAAAGTGGTATGGAATGTGGAACCTCAATAACACCATGTACAGTTGTACCAAGACTTCACTGGTTTTGAACTCCAACCTCACAGAATTGTAGAAACCCTACAGCGTAGAAGCAGGCCATCTGGCCCATCGAGTTCACACCAACCCTCCGAACAGCATCCCACCCTGAGCCACCCCATCCCCACACTTCCCAAGGCTAGTCCACCCAACCTGCACATACTGGACACTATGGGCAATTTAGCATGGTCAATCCACCTAACCTGCACATGTTCGGTCTGTGGGAGGAATCCAGAGCACCCAGAGGAAACCCACACAGACACGACGAGATTGTGCAAACTCCACACAGACGGTCGCCCGAGGGGAGAATCGAACTTGGGACCCTAGGGATTTGAGGCAGCAGTGCTAACCACTGAGCCGCTGTGCCTTCTAGCAATAAAGGCCAAAATTTCATTTGCCTTCTTAATTACTTGCTTCAGCTGCCCGCTCTTTATTTTGTGTTTCATACACAAGAACACCCAGAGCTCTCTCCACTGCACTTTTTTGGAGTCTCTCTCCATTTAAATAACATTTAACATCATCTTCCAAGTTTTTGACTTCTTATTCAAAATATCCTCATGCCCTCATCAAAACATGCCCTCCCACCTATTTTTGTATCGTCAATAAATTTGGATTCATGATATTCTGCTCTTCTCCTCCAAGTCAATAATGTTAAATAATTGAGGTCCGAGCACTGATCGCCTTAGCACTCCATCAGCAAACTCTTTCCAACCTGAATAAGAGCCATTGATCCGGACTCTGTCTTCTGTGTTTTAAAAAATGCTCGATCCATGCTAATGCAATACCCCAATATTAAGAACTACTACAGAATAGAATAGAATCCCTACAGTGTGGAAACAGACCCTCCAAGCCCAACAAGTCCACACCAAACCTCAGAGCATCCCACCCAGACTCATCCCCCTATAACCCACCTAATCTACACATCCCTATGGGCAATTTAGCTTGGCCAATTCATCTAACCCACACATCTTTGGACTGTGGGAGGAAACCAGAGCACTCGGATGAAACCCACGCAGACACAGGGAGAATGTGCAAACTCCACACAGACAGTCGCCTGAGGCTGGAATCAAACCTGGGTCCCTGGTGCTGTGAGGCAGCAGTGCTAACCACTGAGCCACCATGCCACCCAATAACCTTTTTGTGGCACCTTGTGGAAATCCCAATCCCCTTTATCATCTCTGCTTGCATATCCTCTAAGAATTCTGGCATTTTTGTTTTATATTCATCGATATGACATGGGCATTGCTGGCTGGTGATGGGAAACTGCCTTCTCGACCATTGTAGTCCAATCGATGTTGGCAGACCCAGAATGCTATATCTGCCAAACATTATTTCCCTTTCACAAAACCATGCTGATTCTGTTTGAATGCATTATGCCTTTCTAAATGTCCTATTTTATCATTAAGAATGGGGTCTAGTGCTTTCCCAATGACAGATGGTAGACTAACACTAGTTTAGTTTCTTGCTTTCCGTCTCCTTTCCTTCTTGAGCAGGAGTGTCACATTAGCAGGTTTCCAGTTCTCTGGACCCTCTCAGAATCCAGTAAAATCTCAAATATTTCTACCAATGCCTTCACTATCTCTGCAGCCACTTCCTTTAAAACTCTGGGATGCGTGCCATCATCCTGGGGAGTTAACTGCCTTTAGTCCCATTAGCTTGTCAAATACTTTATCCCTTGTAATAGAAACAAGATTTTTTTTCTCACATTAGTACTTTACTTGTAGTCTTTGAGATGTTTATAGTGTCATCCAGCATGAAGACTAATGCAAAATATCAGTTTAAATTATCTGCTATTTCCTTGTTCTCTTATCAACTCCTCAGTTACATCCTCCACAGATCCCGTACTTACTTCAGTTATTCTCTTCCTTATTTACCTGTAGAAGCTCTTGTTAATTATTTTGTACAGTTCTTGGCAATTAACTTTCATGATCAATTATCTCCATGTTTATTAGCCTTTTAGGAACAATGCCAAGCCTCCCACTTACCACTAATTTTCATGACTTGTATGCCTTAGATTTTGGTTGGAAACACTCCTTGACAGCCCTTGTTAACCACAGATGGTTCATCATTTATATCGAGTCTTTCTTTTAGTCCAGAATAAATTTTTGCTGAGCTTTATTAAATATCTACTACTGCTCATCTAGTGACTTTCCCTTAGCTTATCCCCGAGTTGAATGGCGGAGCAGGCTCGAAGGAAAAATGTTACTCGTATTTCCTGTGTATTTTCTATGTTTGGTGTCAGTCAGTTGCCAGGCAGAGATATAGAGTCGGCAGCAGAAAGATTTCCGAGACAGGAACTAAACCAATTACTTCAGTTTTCTCAATAACCTATTATTTGAAGGAATTTGTTCTTCAGTACTGATGGAGGGTAACGAAAGACAGTGTAGCTTGCTGCTGTTGGCGTACACATGAAAGCTAATGCAATGTTATCAGATAATGTCACCAAAAGATATACGTAGATGAAGAACTGGAAGGAGCCACTGATAGATTTTTTGGGGCGCACAGCGAGCAGAAAGAGAGAAGCTACTGCAGATGATTATCTGACAATTATTAGGGAGATACAACTCAATGACACCTCCAGTTCTGCCCAGCTGGACAACAATAGAGAGCTGTTATAGGATGGTAAAGCCAATCGGCTGAAGGACAGTTCACCTTTTGTCACAATTACACACAATTCTGTTTTTGATTTCATAAGAACAGTTACACCACAACGGCAGGAATGAAAACCTGGCTTGAGGGATCAAAGCATCCAGTTCTGAGAAAGATGGAAAGATTTGGGAGGTGACAAATCAAAGGATTTTGAAGAAAAAGCAAGATTGGAGAAGGGAGTGGCAGTTTGCAATCAGAAAGTGAAGGACTGTATCTCTAAGCAGAAAGACAACGTCTTCAGATTTGAAAAGTGAGGCGACAAAGGAGGAGAGCACATCAGCATCAGTAGCACCAAGAAGGGATGTTACATTGTCAGTGCCTGAGTTGGAAAAGAGGAAAAGAACAGGGGATGATTCTCATGAAGAGCAGATCAGGGAGGGTGTGAGACAAGCAAGGACAGAACTAGATTATGATGAAAGTACAGGATAAATGTGTTCACACGTATGTAGCATAAACACCTACAAAGATTTACAGACAGAAATGGGAAAGGAGTTCAACGGCAGGATCATTGAACAGATGGAAGGTAATCAGCAAAAGAACCAAGATGGGGAGCAGGGGAGATTTACCAGGATGTTGGAGAGTTTTAGTTATGAAGTCAGTTTGAACAGACTGGGGTTGTTTTTCCTTAGCACAGGGGAGATTGAAAGGGGATATAATGGAAAAATATAAAATTACGAGGGCTGTAAGACAGGAAGGAACTTTGATCCTACCACCAAGGGGAAATGACCAGACAGGACAGATTTGAGGGAAGGGACAGAAAGTTTAGAGGAGATATGAGGAAAATCTTTTTCACCTAAAGGATGGTCGGAATCTGGAACTCTGCCTGTAAGTGTGATAGAGGCAGAAACCTTCATGAATTCAAGAAATATTTAGATGTACACTTCTGATGGTAAGGGGTAAGTGCTGGAAAATGGCATTAGAATAGTTAAGTGGGTGTTTTAGGCTTTTTTGGGTGCAGACGTGATGGGCCAAAAGGTCTTTCTCTGTGCTGTAAACCTTTATAACTCTAAGCAGAAGAGAAGAGAAGAATAGATATTGTTTATATATAAACACAGCAAGCTATTATGATCTGGAATGCACTGCCAGGATAAGTGGAAGTTGCTACAAGGAATTGTCAACAGGGAATTGGTCAAATATTTGAAGCAAAATTTATTGAAGGTTTGAAAAGGAGTGAAATTAATCAAAGGACCCTTTCCAAAGCTAACACTGATACAATTTGTCCTATTGCTTCCTCTAGGGCTGCATTATTCTGGAAAATATCATTTTTAACAAGGGGAGATCAATGCCTCTGTTCTCTGAAGAGATTCACCAGGATGTTGCCTTGTATGAAAAGTTTGAGTCATAGGGAAAGGCTGGGACTTTTTTCACTGAATCGTAGGAGGTTGAAAGTTGACCTTCTAGAAGTTTATTAAAGAATGAGAGGTACAGATAAAGTTGACTGTAGTTGTCTTTTCCCTAAGATGGGGAATTTGAAGACTAGGGGGCAATTTTTAAGGTGAGAGGAGAGAGATTTAAAAAAAGACATGAGGCAATTTTTTTTTTTAAAATGCAAGAGGGTGGCTCACATGTGAAATGAACTTCCTGAGAAAGTGGTGGATGCGGGTACAATTACAACATTTAAAAGACATTTGGATGGATAAACGAATAGGAAGGGTTTGGAGGGTTATGGGCCAGGAGCAGGCAGGTGGGATTAGTTTAGTTTGGGATTATGTTCGGCATGGGCTGGTTGGACCGAAGGGTCTGTTTCCGTGCTGTATGACTCATCCCTCACAGGAAATGGCCTCTAAAAACACTACACTACTGTACTAGGGTTCATGTGTGACAAGACTGCACTTATAAACACTTAAAAAGTTCAGATTTTTCACCCATAGGTTTAAGTGATCAATCCATCATTGAACGAGGTTCCACACAAAAGTGAAAGTTTCCTCTGCTCCATACCTTAACAGGGTGCTGTGTACTGGGGGACAATGCAAGTTTGACAGGTTCCTTCTTCACAGGCGGCTTCATCTGGTGATTCTCTTCAGATTCAGACTCTGATTCGGAGTCGGAGTCAGACATACCTGTAAATATTTCAGAAAGTACTTGTTAAGTACTTCGAAAGAGCAATACTAAAATTAATCTAAAGATATCCACACTATATCAAAATCACGTTGCATGGATGGTACAATAAATCAGCTCTGTTGGCCGGATGGATGGTTCGTAGTGCAGAGTGACACCAACAGCGCGGATTCAGTTCGTCCATTGGCCGAGGTCACCATGAATGATTCTCCTTCTTGACTTCCCTGCCCTTGTCTGAGGTGTGGTGATCCTCAGGTCAAACCACCACCAGTTGCCTCTAATGAGAGAGCAGCCCTATGGTCTGATATGACTACTGTGACTTTGACTCTACTTTTTACTTACATGCCAGCTTCAGCCCTAAACAGCCTAAGATACTTCAAATCTACTGTTATATAACAATTGACATAAACACTGAAGGAAGTTAAGGCTAGACAGCAGCAAGGCAATGAGAACAAGGATGAAAACTGTAGAAAGAAAAACAGGCATTGCCTAATTGAAGAATTGCTAACGCCCACACCAATACATATCCATATAGACATACCCATATATCAAAAGATCTATTAACATTATTCAGGAGTTTGGGGTCTTGCCCATTAGTCTAACAAGGAACACTCAAATGAGAAGCCAAGTGAGATCCTACTGCACATTCCGGTTGTCAAATTTCACTTTCATAACAAGCACATGTACTTCACGGTATCTTATTTTGTATGAATGTACAGATCATTTGGAGATACAAAGACATAAACCCAAAGTTTTTTTTGTAAAAATAGCATCTGCACAACAAACCTTTTCATTTTACCTATCAGAGGTTTCCTATCATCCAAAACTTAAGAAACAAAAAAATAAGAACACTGCTTTCCCAAATCTATTTGTAAAACCATAACTAGCCCTTCTCTTTGATCTGGTCACCACAGTGCATTTCCAGGACTCCTGGAGTCCTTATAAACATACTACAGAATCTCAGCACTGCTGTCCTGATCCAGCTTATGTGAAAAGGTAGATCTGTACTTTACCTAACCAAAACTCCAGATTTACCAACTGCCTCAGTCTACTGTCTCTTGTATCATCAAGATGTCTGTTTATATCTGTAAAAAAGTGTTCCTTTTTGAAGGAATCTGTAGGCTAAGATGGAAAGGTTGTTTTGATTGAACTTAATATCTACGCTATCTTGTATCTATTGAGGCCTTGGACAGGAAACTGCCACAATAATTGATTTTCTTCAAAAACGAAAAGGCAGTCAGTATTCATAGCTTGATGTAAGGCGCTTTTTTAAAATTCTTTGAGGGGGCTGTGAGCTTCCTTGGCTGGGCCAGCATTTACTGCCTACCCCTAGTTGCCTTGTTCTTTCCCCTTTTCTCTTCTCATCAAAGGCCTCAAACATCACCTCCAAGCAAAAAGGCAATTTACTTTCATCTTCTCCAATTTATTATACAGTATGTGACGTTCACATCACAATTGCTCCTAGGGAGTACAAACAGCAGACTGAGTGACCACTTTGTAGAACACCTTCCACAAGTTCAATCCCCTAGCAGAAGCAAGCTTCTGGCTGTCATTTTTAATCTCCACCTTGCTCACATGCTGAGACCTCTCCATCTCTGAGCCATCCAGGGCTCCAGCAAACTTGAGGAACAGCACCTTATTTTTCAGCTTGATACTCCCACAGCATTCAGGACTCAGCATAAACTTCTTTAGATAACAGCCTCTGCCATCACCTCGCTTGAAGTGTTGTTTCCTTTTCTAATTTTGCTGCTTCAGTTTTGTCGTTTCGCTCCCTCTTTTACATTGCAGTTAGATGGTGTTCATGTAGCCATTCATTCCTTATTTATGCACCTGTTTCTTTACCATCTCCATTAACACACTGGTTACTGCATATGGAATCTTGCGTTATTCCATCTACCCTGTCCTCCACCCAACACCTGCAAAAAAAAGGTCATCACAACATGTAATGTTATTTTTGTAATTATTTGTTCACAGGATGTAGGTGTCATTGGCTCAAGCCAGCACCTTTTGTCCAAGGTAGGGGTGAGACACCTTCTTGAACTGCTGTGGTTGTATCGTGTCTGTGTGAGGGGAAAGGAGACATTACAGTGCTGTTAAGAAAGGGGCTCCAAAATCTGTTACTCTCTCCACAGGTGCTTCCTGTCTCAGTATTTCCAACATTTTGTTCTTAGTTCAGCCTTCCAGCATCCACAATATTTTGATTTTATGCTTACAGTCCGAATCAGCTTTAGAAGGAATAAGGAAACCACCACACTATTTGTGCAATCATGTTTATTTGCAAGTATTTTTGACATTTTACTAATTCAAGGTCAGTACACTCATTAAATCAGTGCTCAATTAGTGTTTTTAATGCTCCATGCAATTAAAAAAATGACACATCAGAAAGGAACCTATCCATCCTCCACGTAGCTGACTTATCAGTTTCTGGGGTTCTTGTTATTCTTCAACTTTAATGAACACATGCTTGAAGATGGCACAAGACTGACCAAGTTACTCCAAGGCTTTTTCTGCTGCAGTCTGAAGAACAACCCAACTAGCGAGGGCAGTCCTGAACGACAATCAACTCAAATTCAACTCCAAGTCCACCATGAAGCCCCAATGTCCTTTGGCTGTCAACTGCACTCAAACTTAGATGCACCAAAATCCATACTTTTCTGATTCTTGAGATAGATCCCAACGATGGCTCAAAATCCTTTTCCCAAAGCAACTTATCTTCCATGTGTGTCATGTGCCCTTTACATCCTGAAAGATGCTGAACGACATCAACTTTCTCGAATGTGCAAGTCGCACCATCATAACATTTCAAGAGTGTATTCTGAAGTGATTCAGGCTGGTGCATGGCTCCCCAGCAATGGTGCTAGGTATGGCGGATGCACTGGGGTCACCTGTCCTTCAAAATGTGTTTGCATCACATCGAGACCAATCTGTAACCAGAAAATAAAGTCCATAAATTACCCAGGCATTTGTCATTTCACTAATATTCACACAGACTGAAAATTACATAGGCTTCGGTTACAGAGTTTTACAAGCCACCATGGAGTAATACACTCCAATAAATTTTCACAACCACATATACGCAAGTACTTACCAAGATTATTCCCGATACCATCAAGATCTGAGGCAACACTTCTCTCCAGGGTCTCAGTTGTATGAGGTTTTCTTTGTGAACCGAAGTCTTAAAGTGAAGGTTCCTGCTTCTACACCGCCTCCTTGAGCCTAAAGGTTGAATGAGAAGACTTTCACCCTAAAACATCTTGGGCTGTTAATTTGTTCTGGGGTAATAGATCAACATGTTAATTCACTTCTTATAAGAGCCTATGCCTCTGTTTCAAATTAAAACTGCATTCAAGACAAAGAAAATAAATTAAGTTCACACCCTTTAAAAGGGATTAGTGCAAACATAATGACTCAATGTTTAATAAACACACAAGTTTCAAAAATGCTTAACTTATACACCAATTATGCACAGATAAAAGTCAAAATAAGACTTTCAAATACAGTTTAGTCTTATAAGAGCTAGGAGCAGGAGTAAGCAATTCAGCCCCTCGAGACTGCTCTACCATTTAGTACAATCATGACTGATCTCACTTCAGCCTCAACTCCATTTTCCTACTTGCTCCCCATAACCCTTCGACCCATTACAAATGAAAAATCTGTCTATCTCCTCCTTAAATTTATTCAATGTCCCGACATCCACCAAATTCTGGGGTAGTGAATTCCACAGATTCACTCTTTCAAAAGAAGTAATTTCTCCTTGTCTCTGTTTTACATCTGCTACCCCTTATCTCTCATTCCAGATTGCCCCACGAGGAAACGTCCTCTCTACATCTTGTTTGTCAATCCCCTTTAGCATCTTATATACTTCCAGTGAACTCCTCTCATTGTTCTAAACTCTAGAGAGTAGAAAAACATAGCTGCTGGGGGGGGGGGAAATTACCCAGTCTCACTCAGAGGTATTGACCCGAACTCTTCCTAATCTTCAAAGAGGAGATGGTTTGGGAACAGTCAGGATGATTCCACAATGATCAGCACCCTTCATAAGTCCTCAGACACCGAAGCTGTCTACATCCAAATGTAACAAGATCTGGACAACATCCAGCCTTGGGCTGAAAAGTAGCAAGTAATATCCATGCCACACAAATGCCAGACAATGACCATCTCCAAGGGGAGGTGATGGCCTAGTGGCCTAATTGTTAACCTATTAATAGCCTAATGTTCTAGGGGCCCAGGTTCGAATCCCATCACGGCAGGTGGTGGAAATTGAATCCAATTTAAAAAAAATAAATCCGGAATTCAGAATTTACTGATGACCATGAAACCACTCCCAATTGTCAGGAAAAACCCATCTGGTTCACTAATGTCTTTCAGGGAAAGCAAACTACTATCCTCACCTGGTCTGGCCTACATGTGACTCTAGAACCACAGCAAGGTGGATGGCCCTTTTCTGTCCTCTGGGTAAACAGGGACTGGCAATAATGCCGGCCGAGCAGTGGCAACCTCATCCCATGAATTAAAAAAAACCAAGAGAAGTTCTAACAATTGCTCCTTGACATTCCCATTACCATAACTGAATTCCCCATTAAAATCTTGGGAGATACCACTGATCTGAAATTGAACTGGACTAGCCATAGAAATATTGCGGTTACTTATTCGTAACCTTTGTAGATCAGAGGCTATGAATTCTGCTGTCAGTAAGTCACCTCCTGATTCCCCAAAGACTGTCCATCATCTACAAGGCACAAGTTAGGAGTGTGACGGAATAGTACCACATACCTGGACGAGTAAAGCTCCAACACCACTCAAGAAGCTTGAAACGACCCAAGACAAAGCAGCCAACTTGACTGGTACCACATACACTCCTCCACCACCAAAGCTCAGTAGCAACAGGGTGTACTATCTACAAGTTACACTGAATAAATTCTCTAAAGATCTTCAGACAGCACCTTCCAAACCCACAACCATGACAATCTAGAAGGACAAGAGCAGCAGATACATGGGACCATCACCACCTACAAGCTCCAAGCCACTCACTGTCCTGACTTGGAAATATATTGCTGTTCCTTCAGTATTGCTGGGTCAAGATCCTGGAATTCTCTTCCTAAAGGCATTGTAGACCTAGTTATAGCACATTTCAAAAGATGTAAAGACAGCAGGGTTGTTGTGGTGGGTGATTTTAACTTCCCCTATATTGACTGGGACTCACTTTGAGGTAGGGTCTTGGATCAGGCAGAATTTGTAAGGACCATTCCGGAGAGTTTCTTGACACAGTAACGTAAATAGTCCAACCAGGGAAGGGGTTACAGTGAACCTGCTTTTGGGCAATGAGCCCAGCCAGGTGGGTGAAGTTTCAGTGGGGGAGCATTTCAGGAGTAGCGACCATAATAACGTGCGTTTTAAGATATTCATGGCCAGGGATAACAGCAGTCTTTGGGTGAAGGTGGTAAATTGGACAAAGGCAAACTATAACCCCATGTTCTACGAACAGATCAACAGGGCACCCGTGGGGTCACCTATCTCCGGACTAATAGCAGGAGCGGTGACAGAGGCTCGAAAGCATGGCCCTTCCACAAATCCAACTCAAACAAAGGATCCGGTACGTGGACGACACTTTTGTCTTCATCAAACAGACCAAACTAGAGGAGACACACCAACTAATAAACGACACTCGCGCCAGCATCAAATTCACCAGGGAAGAGGAAGAGAACGAACAGCTCCCATTCCTGGACGTCATGGTAGAACGCAGGGCCAACAGGGAATTCCTGATGAAGGTACACAGGAAAGCCACACACACTGACCAAGTACTGAATTTCAATAGTAACCACCCCAACACCCACAAATGAAGTTGCACAAAAACACTACTTAAACAAGCGACAACACACTGCAGCCACCCGGAACTACGCCAAAATGAAGAACAGTACCTCCACCAAGTATTTAAGGACAACAGATATCTGAACAACTGGATCCGACTATGCCTATCACACGAATAACAGGAAGATGCTGCATGCCCTAACACGCTCATCATGCTACCAAACATCAAGAACATATCCAAACTGAACACAAAACTCCTACGACCATTGGGCATCACAGTAGCACACAAACCCACGTCAACCCTACGCCAACTACTAACTCGAACCAAAGACCCCTTACCCCCTATAGACAGAACCAATGTAATATACAAAATTCCATGCAAGGACTGCGACAAACATTACATTGGACAGACAGTAAGAAAACTGGCCACATGAGGACATGAACACCAACTAGCAACAAAAAGACATGACCAATACTCACTCATCTCCATTCACATGGATAAGGAGAACCACCAGTTCGATTGGGACAACACCAGGATCCGAGGACAGACCAAACAGAGACAAACACGAGAATGCCTAGAAGACTGGTTCTCTACCAAGAAGACCATAAAACACATAGAACTAGGCCTTATATATATACACACGCCACTGCGAAGGAAAACCGGAAATGAGGTAATCAAATCCAACGGACCCCAGAGTTTAAATACCAGGCGGGAAAACACAACAGCGCTTCATCAGAGGCTGCACTGACGATGTTACCCAGCAAGGTAACCAAACATCCGTGAGCTAACGAACCAGCTCTGCGAGCGAACCAACCACAGCATCCACAACCCGAGCTACAAATCTACTCAAGAACCTTAGGAACAGACAAGGGTTTTGGAGCCAGGCGGTTCTATCAGTGTGTCATTTCAGTTCATTTACCTAACCTTAACCACAGCCTCTTGTCTGCCCATCCACTGCAGTGGCAGACTTCCAATGACAACTCATAAGAACACAAGAACTAGGAGCAGGAGTAGGCCGTCCGGCCCTTCGAGCCTGCTCCGCCATTCAATAAGATCATGGCTGATTCTTCCGTGGACTCAGATCCACTTACCCGCGTTCTCACCGTATCCCTTAATTCCTTTATTGTTTTAAAAAAAAGTAGATTTTTTTTGAAAACATTTACTGAAGTAGCGTCAACTACTTCACTGGGCAAGGAATTCCATAGATTAACAACCCTCTGGGTGAAGAAGTTCCTTCTCAGTTCAGTCCTAAATCTGCTCCCTCTAATCTTGAGGCTATGCCCTCTTGTCCTAGCTTCACCTGCCAGAGGAAACATCCTCTCTACTTCTATCTTATCTATTCCCTTCATAATTTTATATGTTTCTATAAGATCCCCCCTCAATCTTCTGAATTCCAATGAATATAATCCCAATCTACTCAGTCTCTCCTCATAAGCCAACGCCCTCAACTCCGGAATCAACCTAGTGAACCTCCTTTGCACCCCCTCCAGTGCCAGTACATCCTTTCTCAAGTAAGGAGACCAAAACTGCACACAGTACTCCAGGTGTGGCCTCACCAGCACCTTGTACAGCTGCAACATAACCTCTCTGCTTTTTATTTCAACCCCTTTAGCAATGAAGGACAAAATTCCATTTGCCTTCCTAATTACTTGTTGTACCTGCAGACCTACCTTCTGTGATTCATGCACAAGGACACCCAGGTCCCTCTGCATAGCAGCATGCTGCAACTTTTTACCATTCAAGTAATAATCCTTTTTACTATTACTCCTACCAAAATGTATGACTTCACACTTATTTACATTGTATTCCAAATTGTATTCATCAGTTGAGTCACACACATCAGACATGAAATAACGAATAGAAACATTCCATACCCTGTCAGAGCACAGATCACTTACTCTCTTGCAGCTACAGCAGTGCATGGGCACTGAGTTGTGCAGCCACCTCTGTCCAGGCTGCCTTTATCAGTTGCGATGATCTCTTCTTGCGTAACGAGGGATCACTAAAACATGGCACACTGAGATCTCCAGGAATGGGTGAGGGTGATTAACAGAGGTTAGGTGAAGCTCCTCAGTAGCTAGAGCCCGGATGTTCTCAGCTGAATGCTTGCCCTCCAAGACACTCTACTAAGAAATAAATCGCCAGTCCTTCAGTGTCGCTGGGTCAAAGTCATAAAACTCCCTCGGTGCAAGTCTATCTACAGCAAATGGACTGCAGAAGTTCAAAAAGGCAACTCGCTACCATTTTCTCCAGGCAACTAGAGGTGGGCAATAAATGTCAGCCCAGCCAGCAAAGCCTACTTCCCATGAAAGAATTTGAAACAAAAAGCCCATAAAATTTGGCATTTTACCCACACATGAACAAGTCATTATTCAGGAAAACCAGAACTTTCCCCAGAATTCCCTCTCACTATTGTGTCCCTCTCCACACTTGCATTTCTAAGTAAAATTCTATTCAATGGTTTTAAAGGTAATGCACTGTGCAAACTCACCAACAATGTGCTCTCCGCTGATGTAGATGGGACCAGAACCAGTCTTCAGACGTAAACAGACCGGAGGGGACACCTCAAAACCTCCCAGGACGGTCTAGAATACAAGAGAGATGTTTCGTTGTTTCAAATTAGGTGTTCATTTACTCAATACACTATCAGGACCACATTAAAGATCCCTTTCAGGCTCACCAATTATCCTGCTGGTTAATTTCACACTGACTCAACAGTGACGACATTAACAGTTTTGTTAAGTGCATGCACGTAATTTGTATTCAAGTACTGAAGCATATCACTCTATACATATAATATGAAGTCCATGCTCATCAGAAACTGTCTTAACTTCCTGTGGAGGTTAAAGAGCAGAAGGTTCTTAATTTTCAAAGTACTGTGCCAAGTTACACTGCTGTAGCAATATTAGAAATGTTACAATTAATTTGTGGCTCGTGATGATGGGGATGAATCCAGAGTTATCATAAGTCCATAAGACATAGGAGAAGTAGGTCATTCAGCCCATTGAATCTGACGGATGAATAGCTGATCTGATAGATGAATAGCTGATCTGATAATCCTCAAATCCATTTGCCTGCCTTTTTCCCCATAACCCTGTATTTGCTCACCAACTAAAAATCTATCCCAGTCTTGAATAGTTAATGACTCAGGCATCACATCACACTGCAGTGAAGAAATCTACAGACTGACCACCCTCAAAGAAATTCCACATCTCTATCCTAACTGGGTGACCTGTTACTCAAATTGTGATCTCAGATCTTAGGTCGTTTCCCTTTGCGGCAGGGTCTCTCTCGCTCTCCCTACCCTGTCAAGCGCACTAAGAATTTAATAGGTTTTCATAAGGTTGTGTTGCACTCTCCTAAACTCCAATGGGTACAAGCCTAACCTAACCAACCTCTCCTTATAAAGAAAACATCAGCTTCATCCCCACCTCCTTGACCTATCTGTCTTCTCTCCCACCTTTCTGCTCCACTATCCACCTTCTATCACCACCCCCCCAACTATTTATTTCAGAACCCCCTTCCCCTCCCCCATTTCTGAAGAAGAGTCCAGACTCAAAACGTCAGCTTTCCTAATCCTCTGATGCTGCCTGGCCTGCTGTGTTACTCCTGCTCTACACCTTGTTATCCATACCTGGGACCAACATATTGAACCTTCTCTGGTCCCCTTGCCTAAGGAAAGGTATACTGACACTAGGGGTAGTCCAAACAGTTCACAGTATTCTCAGAAACAAAAACAAACTGCTGGAAAAGCTCAGCATGTCTGTGAAGAGAAATCAGAGTTAATGTTTCGGATTCTTTAGAACAGTATTCTCGGTGTGGACTTACTCATGCCTGGTATAGATTTAGCAAGAATTCCCTATTTTTATACTCCATTCCCTTTGAACAAATCCATGACAGTTTCACTCAAGCCACCTCCCATCTCTTACCCTGTTAACCCTCTATCCCCTTTTCCCTCACATGCTTGTCCAGATTCCCCTTAAATCAAGCACTTCAATCACTTCCTCTACTATTGAGAGTCAGGCATTCTCACCATCCTTTGGGGAAAAATGTTTATTCCAAATTCTCTGCTATATTTGCATGGTGATTATCCAAAAGTAACATCCTGTAATTACCCTCTTCCCCTTAAAAAAAAGAGAAACATCAATCTAGAAGAACCTCATGAATTTTGTCTCAAATGTTCTTCTATGAAGATCTCTATTTGCTGAACTGAAGTTTTCCTTTTGAAACAGAGAAAACAAAGGCCCAACAATGCTTTCCCATTTTATATGTAGCATACATTTCTGGCATCAGTTTTGCGAACCTTCACTGCACCCTCTTCATAGAATCCCTATAGTGTGGAATCAGGCTATTCAGCCCATCGAGTCCACACCAACTCTCTAAAGAGCTCACCATTAAGACCCAACCCCCCACCTTATCCCTGTAATGCTGCATTTCCCATGGCCAATCCACCTAACCTGCGCATCTTTCGACTGTGGCAGGAAACTCACACAGACACAGGGAGAATATGGAAACTCCAAACAGACAGCCAAGGTTGGAATCTTCTCCAATACTTTTAATAATTTTTAATATGGTTACTAGTACTGTTCACAACACTCTGATTTAATTAATGTTTGATGTAGTTTCAGTATAATTTAGTTATTTTCTATCCCTCCAGGTCTAAAGCAGAGTTTATTTTTTTTAAAATAGCCTTGCTAACCTGAGGTGTGATTTTTAGCAACAGGTATACTTGTCGTTGAGTTCCCTTTACTCCTCTATCCCACTTAGAAATGCACCACCTAATTCTTCAGACCAAACATGCACTCTCACTTTTAAAGGAAGCAGCTGCAAAACTATTGGATACTTTGGTCAAAATGTTTCAGAACACAGTGGATTCTGGGGATTAGAAAACCACTGAAGTGGCAACCCCTTTAAAGGAGGGAGTCAGAAAAGCAGGAAACTATAGGCCAGTTAGCCTAACATCCATTGTGGGGAAAATGCTACAATCCATTAAGGAAGAATAGCAGGTCATTTAGAAAAGCTTAATGCAATCCAGAGCCAACATACTTTTGTGAAAGAGAAATTTTGTTTTTCCTTTATTAATTTGTGGGATGAGGGAGTCACTGGCTAAGCAGCATTTATTGCCCACCCCTAATTGCCCAGAGGGCAGTTAAGAGTCAACCACATTGTTGTGGGATGGAGTCACATGGAGGCCAGACCAGGCAAGGATGGCAGTTTCCTTCCCTAAAGCATATTTGTGAACCAGATTTTTTTTTCCGACAATCGACAATGCATTCACTGTCATCATTAGATGCTTAATTCCAGATATTTATTGACTTCAAATTCCACTATGTGCCGTGACGGGATTCAAACCCAGGTCCCCAGAACGTTGTCTAGGTCTCTGGATTAGCAGTGCAGTGATAATAGCACTAGGCCATCACCTCTCCCTCTTTATGTTTGATAAATATGCCAGAGGGGCAGCACGGTGGCTCAGTGGTTAGCACTGCTGCCTCACAGCACCAGGGACCTGGGTTAGATTCCACCGTCTGGCGACTGTCTGTGTGGAGTTTGCACATTCTCCCCGTGTCTGCATGGGTTTCCTCCCACAGTCCAAAGATGTACAGGCTAGGTGGATTGGCCATGTTAAATTGCCCGTAGTATCCAGGGGTGTGCAAGTTAGGTGGATTAGACATGGGAAATGCCGGGTTAAAGGGAACGGGTAAGGAATGGGACTGGGTGGGATGTTCTTCGGAGGAGCAGTATGGACTATGTGGGCTGAATGGCCTGTTTCCACACTGGAGGGATTTTATGATTAATTCTATGATTTATACTTAAAAGACATACAACCAGAGTTGATAAAGGGGGACCAGGAAATGTAGTGTAATTTGATTTTCACTAGGCATTTGATGAAGGACCACATAAAAAGGTACTATAAAAAGATAGGAGTTGAAAGTGTGGGGAATAACGTATTAGCATGGATTGAGGATTGATTAAAATACAGAAGACAGAGATTGGATTAATGGGTCTGTTTCAGTTTGATAAGACCTAAATAGTGGAGGTTCAATCCTTGGGCCTAGATTACTAACCATCTACGTTAATGACTTGGAGGAGGAGGCAGAATGTAATGTGTCCAAATCTGGTGATATGAAAATAGGTGGGAGGGTATGGGTGATGAGGATGTAAGGAATCAACAAGGGGATATTGATAGACTGAGCGAGTGGGCAAAAACTCAGCACATGGAATTTAAATGTAGGAACATGTAAGACCTAACTATTGGTCAAAGCAGCATGAAAATCCAGCAGAGGATCTTGCCTTTTTCAAAAGACATCGCCCAACAATGTACTTGGTACAGTGGAGGATGGTAAGAGGGGCGGGGGAATGGCATTGCTAGTCAGGGTTAGTATAGCAGCTACTGAAAGGCAGTTCAAGAATGGTATGTCTACAGTGTTAGGTTGGGTTGAGGTCAGGAACAAGAAAGGAGTAATCACTTTGTTGGAATGTTTTTTTACAGACCACCTAATAGGTGCAGAGCAGTAGAGGAGCGGATTGGGAGGCAGATACTGGAAAGGTGCAGGAGTCACAGGGTTGTAGTCATGGGTGACTTCAACTATCCAAATATTGATTAGAAACTTTTTAGTTGTAATAATTTAGACGGAACGGATTTTGCCCAGTGTGTTCAGGAAGGATTCCTGACACAGTATGTAGAT